CATCAATGTTTGAGACTCTATTTATTTGGTATTTGTGGCGACTATCAAGCGTTTGAGAAGAGTTTTAACCTAAAGATTTAATATGATTACAATGATACTAGATTTTAAATAATAATGACTCATGTAGGCATTGCAGTAGGATACTTATTACTTATTACATTAAGCTCAGAATCATAACTCGTTAAAAGTGTACCTATGTGTTATCAAGGACGTTGAAAAAGGGGGATACAATCTCTTGCAACGACGTCTGCAGCACCTGGTTACTATACCGGCCACCCTGGCAGGGCAGTTGACGTTCAAGTGTAAAATGTAGATACTTTATGATGACGAGTATCCAAATCACCCCCATGTATGTTCTACGATTTTACGTAGTTTTCGAGTTATATTGTTTTTAATAATTTCTTTCGTAAAGTTTATCTAAAATCAGTATTCGATTTTTTCTCATTCTGTTGGAAGTTTCTGGTTTAATTGTTTTGTGATAACTGACTAACAAAGTCTAACCTAGCACCCTAAAACGAACAGCTGTTGGGCAGAAAGCCCACCAGAGATGATCACCTCGCCTGATCAGTAGATCCTCCTTTTCCAATCTTAGGTACAAGAACATTTACTTTTTTTTTTGATACGTATGTGTACTGAGCTCAAATCATAATTTTGAACTTTCGTAGAAATTGCAAATTTTGCAAAGCCTAGATAAACCTAAGTAGTACATGTAATATAATTATGTAAGTTTATTGTTGTGTGTGTAAATTTATATAGGGATTTATTTTATGTAAGTCTATACTATTCTTTTTTATGTATTTCTCTTGGTCATTATTCTTAAATACGCTTGTTTTTTGCATCGACCATTGTTTTTTGTCTTTGCATCACCCAAAGGTCGGGCTGGAAGAGAAGGCCTTTGGCATTAAGCCCACCTTGTACCATTAGTACACACTAATGGTATAAGGTGGGCTGGGTGGGGTGGGGTGGGCAAGGTATGCACACGCATGAGGCCTTTTAAAATAAAATAAACCATAAGTTTTAGGGTGCTAGGTTAAACTATGTTAGTTAGTTTTCACAAAACAACTCAACCAGAAACGACCAACAGAATGAGAAAAAATCAAAAACTGTTGTTAAGTGAAAATTATCCTTGTATGTTATGTACCTCCACCTAAGTTGTCATGAGAATCCAGTTGTTTATCTATATGTCAAATCTGAATTAAATGTAGTATTTACAAGAATAATAAACAACGTGTACAAATTAAGATGTGTTGTTTCTTTAATAAATGAGCAGTCTTCCACGTGGCATTAGAGTCTAATTTGAATGGGGGTAAATCCATTCATTTGCGTCGCATTTCCATAATCGCTGGGGGCTGATTAAATTTGTACAATAGCAGTGACGGGATCGTAGGTACCTTTTTTAACGTAGATACTAAACATTCAATCTTAAGATAAGCAATAAGTATTACAAAAATGCACATATCTGTCAATAGCTTTTTTTTAAGTGGGGAAAATCATCGAATGAGTGCTCCCGCCTGGGTAAGGCGGGAGGGAGTGTTAGACTCTTACTGACTAAAACCACCCCGTTCCTACTCCTGCACGTCGAGCCGGAGCCCCGGCTACCCGTTAGGTTCTCCGCGACATCTGTCTATAGCTTATATTGTTTTAGATAGAAGCAAATTGCTGTCCCTGCCAGTAACTTGCCCGATAGCAGGAGAACGGTTGCTGAATCGTAGGTACTTATTTTCAAAAATGTACAGAACTTCTTATATTATGTGCAGAAAAATATAAAGTGTTTATAAATAAATTAAAACGGTTCCTCATTGAAAAATGTTACTACACCCTTAATGAGTTTTTTGATGACCAAACCAGCAAAACTTAACACTCAATGCATACCGACTCAATAAAAAATCATATTAAATATAATAATACATATACTACATACAATAATACCTATACATTATTAAGAAATTTATGTAAATACATAATTATAATAAAATAAAGATAATATGTTAATGTTTAATGAAAACAACATTTCTTATGTTATAATATAATAAGTATTGATAGTAGTTCAATTAGATTATATTTTGCTCCATATGTTGCCGTGCCCTAGCCGGGTTTCTGTACCCTGTACAGACTGTACTGTACTGTACCTAATGTAACACCAATTGTACACATGATATGCAATAAAAGAATTTGAATTTGAATTTGAGATTTACCTACAAACCTTTTTGAAACATATTTTCCATATAAAAGCGAAGCAACTATATGAAATTTAACAAGCAGACGCGTAACTTATACTTAGTTGGAAACTTTTCAGCCATAATAACTGCAGGAAAGTGCTCCACTTGTATTATAAATTCTACTTAGCATTTAACGTTACTTCCTCGGCAGCCGGTAAGTAAATCCAGTTAATATTGCAAGTTTTAACTAAAAAGAGAAATGTATTCATTGATGTTTTTATACAACAATTATTTATATTGTACTGGGTTTTTAAAGAATTATCAGTAGTAGCACGGAGTCTGGAATTGGTATATGGCAATAGGCTCACCTCCTATTACATGGGACTTATAATATAAATAGTGAAAAGTGGGTGTTACATTGTACAGTGGCATAATAATTAATTTAGTATGTCTCACGAAACTTTTAATGTAAACTACTGAAACTAATACATATTGCTAAATACTGAGAAATTTCGTTTCGTGTGTCCTATGGGTTTGCTATGACTGATAGAATGAAGTAGTCGAAGAACTGCTTAATTTAGGAATAGTTGGGAAATAGAACTGACGCGTATTCGATCATATGGAAATAGACCGTAAGACATAATTTACATAGACAGACTACCTAATTTTGCAAACAGTACCTATCATCCTGGTAAGTACAAAAATAATATACCTTAGGGCTCGTACACAAAACTGCGATGAGTGCGATGCGATGCGAATTCGCAACGCAAGAAATTACGATGCGAATTGCTGTGATGCCATTAGTGCTACAATGGTGCCCAGGGTGACCATTCCTTGGACGACTGTCAACCGTACTAAATGTTTAAATTGCAAACTAGCTCGTGACATGCATCGTAAAAAGAAGTGTGCACTTCTGTCATTGCTTCGGAGATACAGGGAAAAGAAACAGAAGATTTTGATGCGCGATGCGAATCAATTCGCAAGTTCTTGCAATGCGTAGAGGGAGCTCGCACATCTTTGCGATCTGACGTCGCATCGCAGTTTTGTGTACGAGCCTTTATTGAGACAAAATACTTGCTTGCGTAGACTTGATCAACGCATTTATAAGTGACTACGTAATTTCCATAGAAAGGCATTTAATTAAATTAGTTATTGACCAACTATTAATTAAATTAGCTATAAGGGTCACTTTATTCCCCACGGGTGTAGTTCCATGAGATTTCTAAAGGGTCTGGTCAGTCTCAGAAATGTATGGTCCAAGAGTCATGATGAAGATTGTTAAAGATGGTAGGTGTTGTATTGAACGTATGAACGTAGTAGGTTTCTATAATAGTAAATTAATTATTTACGGTTTGTACATAGGTAATTCATAATTATAGGATTATGAAATATGTGATAATGTGAAACTTAAAAACAGCTTTTTCTTTATTTTATTACCAACTAGCTGTTGCCCGCAACTTCGTTCGCGTATTAGGTAATATGAATTTAGAACATAACTTTTTTTTGTTTGAATTTTCCAAAATAAAAGTAGCCTATGTCAAAATCAGTCATTTCTGAGATTAGGCAGTACAAATAGATAGACAGACAGACAATCGTTATAAAAAAGTTATATTAGTATGTGTATCGTATGTATATTCATATGCATGTAGTAAAAGCGGTAATTTTAATATTACAAACAGACATTCCAATTTTATATAAAATTATGTATAACTTTATGAAACTTATGTAAATTCAGCCCTCCATCTCTTTATAAACTTTGAAACTGGAAAGGAGCTACAAAAGACAAAAAATGTTTCTTTGCAATTATGACAAAGCAGGTTCAATTTTATACTTCTGTTTAAAATTAAGCAGTCTCATCGTTTAGCTTGTAACTTGGGCCATTGGCCACAGGTGTCGGAAGCATCACCTCCTACAGTTTGAAGATGTCCCGGACAAAAGGGTTGCGGTCACACAGGGCTAGTCAAATTAATTGACCGTCTTCCCCACCGACTTATTGGACAATTTATTGAACAACCCATAACTTGTTAGGGAGTTAAAATACATACAATATTGTGTTTGATCTCAATAAAAATGTATATTTTGTATGTATACAAACGTTGTACAGATCACAAAATAATAAACACGACGAAAAGTGTTATTAAAATTGGTACAAGTCGTTTTGGCGTTATGCGCTTGTAAACGATTGAACAATTATTTTTTATAAATAACATCGATAAATATGTAAGGTGAACAGGTTGGTCATACGTAAGTAAGCTTCATGGTCGGCCACATCATTGCTTACCATCAGGTGAGACTGTGGAATAACGCCATCCTATTGAATAAATTAACTTTAATAACTTTAGGGCCGTGGGGCCCAAGTGCACATCTTCTTTACAAATATATTGTAAGGAGGATGGTTGACACTTCAGGTGATCGAAGGGCTGGCTACCTTGGGCAAATGTTAAAGCATTGCCATTCAACGTGGCAATGCTGCCAGTCTTTTGGGCACCCAACCTCACTATAGCGATGAAGAAAAATTTTTTGAGGTAAATATTTTAGTTTTAAATTACTTATTTATATTTTAAGTTCTTATGTAATAATTTCCTATGAATAAATGCATTCTTTTATTGAAAAATGATTGAAATTATTGAAATTGAAATTATGAAAATAGGTGATATAGGTATCACAACCATTGAACCTCTTTCTGTTAGTGACAGAATAAACGAAACAAATCAAGAACCCAATAGAAACATAGACCAAATAGACTCCACATGACATTTGTTGTGGGAATTGTATGTTCATATTTTTAAGAAGTAATATTTTTGTTTTTAGTTTCGTGTAACATTTATACATACTATAATAATGAAAAAGTAAGTTTATTTTTTAAAAGTATGAACTTGATAACATGATAAGGAATTTAGCTTTAGACTAAGTTGCGTACATTTGCAACCTTGTCTCAAGCGTAAATCCGTCTGAGATCCAATAAGGGCTGTGTTACTGAATATTTTAAACAGTAAATAAGGGTCTAGACCATCTAGGATCTATCCAGTCTTTCCAGGATCTAGGCTATCTCCAAAAATGTAATCTAATTCTAAAGCTTTCATGTAATTTCATTATCATTTTATTTCATGTTATTATCATTTCATTTAATTTTATTACTACTTTACTTGTAGTCGATAAATATCTTCTGTTGCCTCTGCAATGTTCAAAATGTAGTAATGATTATTGGTAACCATATCAGACATCAGTAGTTTCTCAGCAATAACGTCTGTAAATATAATACACGCAAATACCTAAACAAGTTCACAATCCTTTTCCTCTTCCAGATCCAATTTGACTTCTCAAGAACTATTTAAAAAGGCACGGGCTAACAATAGGGTTCTAAAATTGCCCGAATTAGAAACTTCTGCAAGGTTTTGCGAGAATACAATACAACAAGTAACTGTAAGTCATGACTATAAAAAGAAAATAATCAAAACCTGTGAGAAAGAGCTAAAGGAGGAAGAATATCGAAACCCGTATACTTTACCGGATCGGTTAAGGGTCACCACCACAGGTGTAAAACGTCCCAAGAGAACACGTGATCCTCCTACCACGGATGAAATCTTAACAGTTTGTGACATTGATCCCGAGTTCTTTACAATCGCAGAAGGAAGGCCAGTCAGGTCCTTCTATGATATTAAAACCTTCATGAGAGATTTAAGGGACGCAACATTACTTCGTGCCAACGCAGGCTATGTAAAAGACAAAATACTTCAAATTGAAATGTTTTCTGCTGCTGAACAAGAAGAATTTAGTAAAGTAAAAAGTGATTTCGATAAAATTAGACAAAATTTTTTGGTATTTTCTGAGGACAGTTTTAAGGAAGCAAAATACGTAATGAAGTTAGCCAAAGAGACTGCTTTGAAACTTGCTAAAGTAACCGATGAACTGGAAGAATACAGCTTCAAATTCGTTAAGATCAAGAATAAACTGTTAAACATTGTCGCGGAATATGATCAGTTGGCACAATACAAGAAATTCTTAACTGATATTTCACCGAAATGGTGGCGCAAACGCTTTGGTACTCATTGCTCGAAGGCTGACATACTATGTTCCAATTTAATTGCTCAGTTGCAATCGGAATCCCCTGAGACCATGACATTGTATAGAGAAAGTGCACTGTCACTGGCACGACTACCACCTCAGCTGTACTACAAAAGACCTTCACAGGTGATTAATTTTCTAGAAAACATAAGTAGACAATGTTTACACTATTTGGAAGTATGTGGATCATGCTCCGGATCGTTTATCGAATTACATATGCAAAAGAGACTCCTCGAAGATTCGATACTGGACCACAGTACACATATGCAGTACGTTATTGATTTATATCTGAAGAAAGTAAAGACTTTGGAAGTCACCAGTGAGCTGTTTAAGGAGAGGTTCCATGAAATACTGGAGAAAGTATTTTACGAGTTAGTCGCATCTTACGAGTCCTCCAAGTTGTTCATGTGTTTGCAATTGGTACATTCTGGACTGTATGGAGACAAACCAGATTGTAGAGATTCGCTGACTAACCTGATGATTAATATAGAGACGTACTACGATGAACTATCGAAGGAACTAAATTGTCTCGATCACGTAGTAGTTAAAAAGGCTACTCGGCAGATCTTTAATCAACATAAGAGAGCAATGGCTGAAGCTCACCTTGCAAAGAAACAATTGAAAGAATATTATGCTTTACGCAAAGCGTTAAACAAAAGCTATGACCCTCCATATACATTGAAAAATAGATGGTATAACTAGGAAGATGAACAGGAAAAATTAATTTATGATTTTATTTATTTACTCTTATATAAGAACACAAATTATATAGGAGCATTTATGTTATTTAGTATCTACATTTCATTAATTAAAAATAATATGTCTACGCGACTGATTTGTGACTACTTCTCATTTGTAATCATGACTGTATTATTAAAATTTAAATAGAAGGGGATATGCTTTAAAAGATATGACTACATAACATTGAAGATGCGGCCATCAGTATACATTTAATGTTAAAAGAAAGTTCCAGCAAAGAATATTTGGAAGAAGCCAGGAATAGTACTATAAAGGAATATTTCATGAATGAGGTGAGTTGGCTTCTTGCACTCATTGCTTTGGGCGGATTATTCCAAATATAATTATCATAAGTTAGAGCACACGAATGATTCCACCGAGCGCTCTGTGGAACGCAGCTCGCCCTCGGGACCAAACATTTGCTTTCATGAATACCTTACCATAACAGACGAGGCTAAGCCCGCATCGTAAAAGCAACAATGTAAATTTAATCTCAATTCTCATTGTTAATAACGCCAGTTCCACGTCTTGAACCACTACGATGTTCACGTTTTTATATCAGTTAATTTTCAAATACAAAACGCCTACATTTCATTTTATTGAATGTAAATTGTAAATGGAAGCTTGCACAGTAATCAATTTTCAGTCTCGCCGTACGATACGTTGAAAATTGAATAATTTTGTTTCTGATTACGCGCCGCGGCTGATACAAAAAGTTCATATTGTGTCAATTTAACTTCTAATCACTTTTTAAATACGTTAGCACCGAGACGCGCCCGATCAACGAATAAATTTGAATTCATTAACAAACTGATTCAGACCCGCCCCGCTCTTACTATTGAAGGGGAAACTAATTGATTTTTTATAGAAATTTCATTGAGTTTAACGCTATTATACATTTTGACGTTAAGGTTAAAGGTTGTAATTACTTAATCGACAGAATGGAACACACAGATGTGTTCAGAATAAAGTTTAACGTTAATTAAAAAACTGTAATGGATTGATATGTAGTACAACAATGCAATAATTCGGAAAGTATTCCCTAGAGAGGCGTCTGTAAATATTTAATAATATCAAGTGGGATTCCTAACTGCATCGTTTATAGAAATCCATTTTATTATTTAAACAAAAGTGCTGGGAGATGCCAGCGGTTTAATGTACGCATTCCTCCGATATTAAACTCAGCGTGCTCCCCAACAAAAGACGCGGTGGAGCGTCGATTGATAATTAATATTGTTTTATTATAAGCTGCATATCTCGGAACAACACGGCCAATATGCCCAAATGGTAAGCCATTGGTGCATGCCTAATTCCGTAATGTTATTAAATGTTTAGATACTGATTATAAAGGCCTTTGTTACGACTGTTTTTGTTTGAAGTTCAGAAGCGGAGCTGTGTTTCTTGTTGTAAACTGGGATATGTTTGTGAGTTATAATTTGTATACGACATCATTCGTCGAACAGTTTGTTCAATTACCGAATCTCTCAGAGCATATTGAGTTGTTTAGTGTTTGTAATTTTTTTAGTAAATAGCACGGAGTTAAGAATTTATTCATTTATTGCACTATGTACAGTCAAAGGTCAAAAGTCCACTGCCACCGTGAGTGATGAAAGAAGAAAGAAAGAAGAAAGAAAGAAGATATGCGTGTGCATGTGTGTATAAGCGCTGCAGCGCAACCGATAGTAGTCTTACGATGGCAGTGGACTTTTGAACTTTGACCGTACATTGTACATACATAGAGGTATTATACTACTAATTAGTACAGCACCCTGTTAGGACGCAGCAATTTAATATAATAATAGAATTAGAGAGAAGCTCACACCTTATAGGCATGGAGTTCATAACGTAACTAGTAAAAGTGGGTATTAAATCATATAAAAGTTTAAAAAGAAAACTAGATTATTAGTTAGGAAAATTTCTACCACCAAAATTCAAATCAGGATCTGACTAAATACCAGAATTAAACGTGGCTTAAGTTTTTTGTATTAAAGATAAGTTTAACGTGGTTGTGGTATGTACTGTAGTGTGAAATCATGCATTATGAATGGAGGGTTATCCCTGGGGTCTGGCCCAGCAACTGCGGCGACTTGATAAATTACTCCTTTCACTTATTAAGTGTCTAGGAACCACAACTGATCGCTGTTGTGCGAGCATCGTTAAATTTTTGTTGTATTATAATGATTTTAAATACTTATGTTATGTACTGAAAAATAAAAAATGAAAAACTTTTGCCCCAAAAAACTAGTAAATAAACGGGTCAAGCCTTTATATTTGCTTCATAGGGCAAGCTAAATAGTTTATTATATCTATAATATAAAAATGCGCAGCGTAAATCTCGAAAATAGCTGAACCGATTATGCAAATTCTTTTTTAAGGATAAGGTTCTAATGTAAGAAAGAAAAAATATTCTAAGGTGAATCTAAGTTCGCGGGGTCCATTAGATGTTAAATACATATAATTTCCAGGTTTGCCAAATATTGCTATAGATAGAGAGATCCAATACTCAAATTATGTGTACTATGAACTACACATAACTGACAACTGCGCTTGCGATTATTCTATTATTCTCAGCAACCTAATGTTGTAATAGTTCGCTCTCTATCCTCAATAGTTCTCAACCGTTTGTCTCGTGCTACGCGCTACGATTTTTCGTAGTCATGCTACGAGTTTACTAAGTGTACGTCCGTAGTCCGTAGACATAATAAGTCAAACTAGAGAACCATTTTGAGCATGACTCCAAAAATTCCAGACTTTTCCTTCATTCCGTATCCTTCTCCTCTTTCAGATGTGAGTACTAACATAAGGACGTAAAGCAAAGCATCGTCCATCATTTTTTCCATACGAAAACGAATTTTGAACACGTCATTCCTAATCGAAATTGGGGTACGCATGTGTATAAGGCTATTTAAAATGAATTTCGTATACACATGACTGATGAGAAGTAAACTAAAGACAAAATGATATGGAACGACCCTAAAATTCCATTTTTTAAAACAAGGGCGTAATAACGTTGTCCATTAATCTTTAGCCCTTCCCCGAAATGATTTTTCCAGGACAACTAGCTGTCCTTATTTTATGTACGGATAAGAAAGAGACAGAAGTATTTACAACTGTTGTCCACTTGTGTTTTTAATTCAATATGTTGTGATTAAGTTGTTTATTGTTGACGTAGACGAGATGTTAATAGATTTTTTTTCTTCTTAATAAATAAAATCATAATTATATTAATTGCTTAAATACAAACAAATTATTAATATATTATGATCACGCTTTCCTAATCCCCAAAATGGTAGGCAGACTTGCGCATTAAATAATTAATATGTTGTCACACAGTCGGATACTGACTCTAGACTCAGCGATGTTGCTTGAATTTTTAGAAAATATGCAATTACTATTACTTTTAACATCCTAAACTAGAAGTCGAACCTAAGACACCTTACAAGGTAGTTGAAATTAGTGGCTCATCCTGACTTTTCATCATTTAATTTTATATTTAGATATCTAAATAAATAATGAGTATTAATAGATATATATATATATATAAATAAAAAAAGTACATGAATACAGTAGATGCACATGTGTCCCTATGATAAATGACCTTCAGACCTTCGCTTGAGAAGCAAATAAAGGCGCATATTGAAACGTAACTTTCGAAAGGGTGCTGTCAAAATATTGAATAGATGACTACAATATTTCACTCACACGATAATTCAAAATACTTGCTTTGTTTGCATTTCTTACTAATTTATTTTATACAAGCTTCTGTTAGCGGTTTCACCCACGTTATAAGTAATAACACAATATCACGCCTTATCACTACATAGTATAAAACAAAGTCGCTTTCTCTGTCACTATGTCGCTTTGTATGCTTAAATCTTTGAAACTACGCAACGGATTTTGATGCGGTTTTTTAATAGATAGAGTGATTCTCAAGGAAGGTTTATATGTACCTCTATAATACATGTGTATTACACCCGTGCGAAGCCGGGGCGGCTCGCTAGTAAGTAATAATTCAAACTATAAACTATAAATATATAATCTATCTCTGTGCTTCATTTATCCAGTTCCATTTACTACTTAACACAAATACTACCATTTGTGTGAAAGAGTAACAAATCAAATCAAATCAAAGTACAGTAACAAACAGTACGTACGTAACGTACTTATGTCCTCATAAACTTCTTAGGAAGTACCTAAGACATTGGAGGATTTGGAATTAACTTATTATTGTGACGAGGAAAGATTTGATTACTTTTAACTTGATTCCTGATTTGCATTTAATAACCTTCAAAACTACTTTGACTATAAGATTTTTTTTTTATTTTTTTTTTTTTATTTTAGTAAGTTTTGTAATTAGTATAATGCGTCAAGCGTGCCTTTGCATTATTCTTACATATACTTACAGTATTGGAATATGTATCAGAGACAATGTAGAACATACTTTTTTAAAAAGAGTAGCGAATGGAGTTTCTTGCTCGTTCTTCTCCATACGAATCTACATTTCGGAATAAGCACCTAGCTTCACCTAGCTTCACTGACGGACTGACTGACAGACTATTTTATTTTGTATTTGTTAACGTTTCAAAAGTACCAAATTATGGATTAATTGAAATAAATGCTTTGACTTTGACTACTGAACGGATGTGGAAATTTCTATCACCATTGTAAAACGTACCTTTCAAAAAGTTATCCAGGTTAATTTTTATGTCAATATTCAATTCATACAGTTACAGGATTGTAGAATCAAGACCTATTCGAAAGTTTTTATAGGAGAAGCCACTAGCGCTCGCTAACTAAAGCAAGTCAATAACTAAAGAAATCATTCTTAAAACGATTTAATTCAAAGTTGCAGATACTTGAAAACGTTGTAACCAGGTGGGAGAGCAGTTAGATTTGCATACCAGTTTGATCCAGCTTAATTTATCCGTAATGGGTTTAGAACGAGCTGAGAGCGCTCACACTGA